ACTGACTTGAATTGTTTAAACTCTAATTTAGCTTTAATCTGACTAAAAGAAATTCAGAATCTCAGATGAAATTTTAATAAAGCTTCAAAACTAGTTTGTAGCCGACTGTAGATTTATTGCAGTGTCTTTAAGCCAATCAGATTCTGCAAACACAAAGTGCTAATTATGAGAAGAGACAAATTACCATGCTGCTGATCATGAACAACAAACATTCATACAAGGCGAGCAGCAGAGGCACAGTAAGTTTAATTATTGTAGTGAAGCTTAAAATAGTGTGACAGTTTCTTCTCCTTTGTCTTAATGTTCTACTTTTGTAGACTGTGGCACTCGTTCTCCTAATTGGCTAAAGACAGTCTGATTAAATCTGCTGCCGACTGCCATTCCTAATGTTGCCATAAGCTAAAAGCTTTCTGTGTGTTGTATTTAAAATTACACAATTCAGATTAATTTGAAGTTTCCAGTGTTTGAATTCATAGTTGCAGTCCTGTCTCTTGCTACTTTTACTGCTACCACTCACATTTCAGTGTTTTTCCACACACAGTTAAAACAGCTGAAAATATTTAACTCAAACTAGGCAGTTAAACTAGTGTTAAATATTGATCTGACCACTTTGCTGCTGTGTGTGTGTGTGTGTGGCTAAATCTGATGCAATGACTGTCAGCTTTAAGTCCGGCCAAAAAGGCAGCAAGTGCTTGTGGGATTTATTGGTGCCTGTCCAACACTGCTTAACTCTACTTATGGTGTAGTTTGAATTAAATATGACGTGCACTGATTCAGGAATGGCACAATTTTCTCGGCCAAATCTGAGCGGCCATAAAAAAGGAGATGAGGTCCACAGAGGTGCAGTGTGTATTAGGCATGAATAGGAATATAATGGGACAATGATTTGTGAAGCCCATGCCCCTCCTCTCTCCCCCCACTTCCTTTACTTTCCTGCTCGGTGCTTTGTCAGTTTTTATTAATCTGAATTCATGACAAAGCACAGTTTTTTCCTCTTACCCTCGTTTTCTATGAAATATTCTCTCTCTCCATGTTGGTGCTCCAGACTGGTTTCCCAATTTTGTACTTTTTTTCATTGCAGTATTTTTCTTGCACTCAGTTTTTACTGTTCCACGCAGTTCACTGCAAATAATTTATCTCTGACTATCGTCTGTCCAGGTTTTTTCTATATCTTCTTTAAATATTAACCTTACTTAAAATAAGCTTTTGGACGTGCATTGAATTTGAGTTTTTCTATCACCAAAATAAACTAAAACAGAATTAGTAAAGGTATTTTGGTGTTGGCCCCTCAAGATTGAAAAAGCAGGGAGAAATCCACTGTTGAACAGAGACATGTTTTTCCCCATTACTTCAATAGACCAGAATTCACTGCAGCAGCATTGGTTTGCATCTTTGCAGGTCTGTCATTAGTGCAAAGGCAAACATATCTGGGAGCGTCTTTTCCAACTTGAGCAACAGGGCAGGGCACAACATGACCTGAGTCTCTCTCAGCTCTCACTACACTATTGCTGTCACTATCGCATATCCATAACACACACCATTTCTCTCTGAGCTCTCAAAACTAATTGTTAAAAGAAGTATACATGATGAAAAGTCTAAATTATAACACTCCTAGGGTGCTCTGACCATAACAGATTTTCCCTTTCATCTTTTGAAAATATGGACTGAATTTCAGCAGCATTAATTAACAAAACTCTTCCCCCATCATCTTTTCACCCCCTGTACTCCCTCTTCCTCCCTCTGTTCAGCACGTCTTCCCCCTATCAGAGTAGAGGAATCCAGTTTCTCCCAGGACATGCAGTGGTTGTTGGAGCGTGGCGTGCAGTTCGCCGATGTGGCTTTCTACGCCGGGGAATCTGGGAAAGAACTGGGGTGGGCGCATGCTGCTGTGCTGTGTGCTGTCAGCCCATACTTCAGACAGCTGCTCCTGGGGCCCAAGAACAGGTAGGAGACATATTGGCTTGTTCACAGGATGGAGTTTAACAAGCTATTTCACCACCTGCGCCTGTTAGCCAGCAGGAGCTCAGCTCTCTCTCTCTCTGCAAACTCCTCTTTAGTGTAACTATGAAGGATTTTGTGCTGAATTTCATCTCTGGTTGGACAGGGAACGTCCGCAGTCGCGGTGTGTTTGCAGAGAGCGCGATGGAGGCCCTCATTCGTTGCTCTCCACCTGGGATGGGGGGATTATTGATGACATGCCACGATCAGAAGGGCACCTGACAGGACGCCTCTCTCGTCTGGTGGTGAAGGACCCCCTCCTGTGCATGTGCTTGTGGGAGACTCTCATGTTCATTTACAGAGGTAAAAACCACCAGTCGAACACAGCACACTCAGATACAATCTACTGTTTTGTGTCTCTTCCAGAGAATTCAGTCATTTCCATTTAACCTTTTTAACAACCCTTCGCTTATAATTATGAACATTTAATATGCAGAGTATTTTTTTGATTAGTTGGTTGACAGTTTGTTCTATAAAATAAGAAATAGTAAGAAAAATGATACACAACTCCCCAAATCACAATTTTCCAAAGCCTGAGATGACATATTGCTTGTTTTATCCAATCCCTTTAGTAACTTTTACTAAACCCTAATTATATTGCATTTGCTATCATAGAAGACTGAGAAAACCAACAAATCCTCACATTTAAGAAGCTGGAATTACTATATTTTGGCGTAGTTTTGTCACAATGGCAATGCTAACATGCTAATGTTTAGCAGGTATAGTGTTTCCCATGTTCACCATCTTAGTTGAGCATGTTAGCATGCTATTGTTTGCTAATTAGCACTAAACCCAAAGTACGTCTTTAGTTCTGCAGGCATTTGGTGATAAACCAAAGACCTGATGATGGTGTCAGATAAAACGCAAGGAATCATCAAAGTGATTATGATTCATCCTCAAGGGGAAATAAATGTTTGAGCCAAATTTCATGGCAGTCCATCCAATAGCCGTCAAGATATTTCAGTTCTACAAATATCCACTTGCTGGTGGTGCTAGAAGAAAAATCAGGCAAGCAACAATCCTCAAGATTCATCCTTTGACACTGTGAATGTGTTGTTGAGATATTTCAGTCTGGACCAAAGTGGTGGAGCAACACACATTACCATCCCCGGAGCCATGCCAGTAGCATGGATAAAAATTACCTTGAAAGCAACATCAATTAAATTCTTTTTTTGATTGACAAATCAATTAATATTCTAAATGTTTCCACACTAAATATATTTCTTTATAGATTATAATCTTATATTTTGGTTATTGTGGTCATTTTCAAAAATAATGCCTTGTTGTAAAAATCAATCTAAGTGCAGCAAAGTATACAACTACAAACCAAAAATATGACAAGAGGGTGAGTTAATCATAAGTGAATTCTAGTGAATGTTGTTAAATTATTTCTGTATTTAAAGTTGCATCAGCTAAATCACAGCAGCATAGCAGCACAGCAGCACAGCAGCCACATGAAAGAGCATCCGATCCCTACTAATTAAAACCCTGTGATTTCACCAGGATCAAGTTGCCCAAACGGACATTCTGGCATCAGGATCAGTTGCACGGGCAGTGCCAAAGAGAAAGTGGAGATCAGAATACAAAACTGTCTCCAAAACAGCGGCCAGATAAATCTGGACTCAGCAAGGATGGCTCAATTAGTTTACTCCCATCACACTACATGGTTTCTGGGAAATGATTTTGCTGATGCTTCCGGGGTGTTGTTGCCATATTCTGCACATTATAACTCGAGTTTAAATACAGCTAACAAAGCTGGACTAACACTCAAAGCATGGGAACTCTGTAGCCCAAAAGCAGTTACTCTTTTTCCAATGTATTAGATGTGATGATTAATGTTCCCTGGCAGCAGAAGGCAATTTGCCTGCTATTGGGTCTTGTCCAATGTTCCATTATGGTGAGGAACAGAAATCAGTCAAATTGAAAGTGCTTGATAGTAAGCAACTGTAGTATTTTAATCTGGGACCTGATCATTCATTGTGAAATACTATAATCTCTCACTGATGTCTTAACCCATATTTGCACTTAGATCCCTCAGGCCACTCATATCTCCTCAGCTCAGTTTTATCACTGACACATGGATTGGTACACAAAATGATGTCCCTGCAGAAATTGAACTTTCATCATTTTAAAAGCTAATGGGAGTAGTTAATAGAATCTGACTCTGTAGCCCAGTGGCCTCATATTTACATCCACAAATGATTAACTCTGTCATGTAAAATTAACAGTATCGTATACTAATGTCACCCAGCAAGCATACAGGCACATGTAGCCATAAAACATGCATCCAAAACATCTGCAAATGCAAAATGTTCTCCAGCCATGTGAGAAGCCTAGTTAAACAGCTTTGTGGTATCCTCTGCGATTTCAGCGCTTCAGTAATGGAAATCGTCTCAGTCTGCGGCTCAGAGTCTGCAGTGCTGCGCTTGCTGCATGTTAGATTGCTGCGCGTGTGCACACACAGCGCTCTATCAGAGGCTGCATGTCGGGCAGGAGTCCTTATGGCAAAAAGGCTACACTAACATCTGATTCATGGGTGCCTCTTAACATGTATGTGAGCAGCACCGACGGTCTGAATGAACACGCTGAGAGCACACTCACACATACACTAGAGGCAAAAACACAAACGCATGAGCTCAGTGTGTATGTGTGCTGTTGAAGGGAAGAAGATTATAGGGTTAGACTGAGTCTCTGTGAGTGACTGTATGAATAAGAATAAGAAACCCAGCGGTTGAAAGGCAGTGTGCAGTGTGTATTTTCACACATACAAGTGCTTGTGTGGATTTGTATTTTTATTTATTTTTTTAGTGAGAGAGGAAGAATATGGGAAAGTAAGGAGGAGAAAATTGCGAGTAGCAGGTGAGGATGAAAGAGGGGGTGGAGTGTTTAAGGTGCTGCTTGCATTTCTGTGAGATAACATGATGGCGAGAGAGTGTTTGGGTGGTGGGTGAGCTGGGTACTAGAGCATACTCTGTGTGTGTGTGTGTGTGTGTGTGTGTGTGTGTGTGTGTGGCTTGGGAGAGAATAGCGGAAAGAGGACTATGAGTGCATGTGCTGTGCAGAATACGAATGTCACGTTTCCATAAAACACTGTAGGGAGACAGTGTTAAGCCTTGTGTGAAAAATGTTAACCTTCAACATGGCGGGTCTCATTGTATGTTTAAAGCAGCTGACCTCACAAACAGTGTGCATATTCCTGTATTAGTGTATTTTCTTGGGTTGGAAGACATGAATATATGTGTGCCTCCTTTGCCCACAGAAACACTCGGAGCACAGTAAGCCAGTGTTTGATGTTCATTAGCAGTAAATCCACAACAGGCTGTACTTTGCTTTCCCAGAGACGGGACGGATATCTTCTTGCTTTCAATTCAATTCCACTCATTTGTTGTAGCTCATTTTGTTGGCTTAGCAGAACACATTTCCATAACAATAATGTGTCTCTGTAAACACACAGCGTCACACTCGTGGTATTATTCCATGCTTGGGGTTTTTTGTCACTTGAGTGTGTGTGGACAGTCACAGAGGCCGTGACTTTGCTTGTGTGACGTTAACACTGTGAGACTCTGTCTCCTTGTGTAGTGTGCTGCTGAATTATTGAATTTGTCACTCGGTTGCTATTGTGTGTACGTATTTGTGTATGCATGTTTAGTGTTAGATGTGTGTGACACATTGTGTGTTAGTGGTCATTCTGGCCTTATTTGAGGTCAAATTTTAGACTACAGACCAGTTGCTTTTGGGACAACTTGCCTCACTGGGGGAAAATTGTAACAATTTAGTTTCCTTGCAAGTGAATTAAGCAGAGACTACCACTGGTTTGGTTTATGTTAGGTTAAGATTTAGAGTCAGGAATGTAGTTGTTATGGAAAAGGTTAAGAAAGGAAATTAGTGTTAATCTGTACAACTTGTTCAGCATTTGTGTTTGTTTGTCTGTGTGTTTGTGTGGGTGGGTGAGAAGAAACACTGAAACTTATCTGTGAGATTATGTAGAAATGATTGAACCTTTTTGCAGCTTTTGCTTTTTGCATATATATTCCATTGTATCCAGTTCCTCTCCACCCTATAGAAAAGCATCTAGCAGTGTATCCAGTTCCAGTTTTTTGGCATCTGGCTGCATCATATGTCAGCAGCACAACTCCAAGCTAATCTCTCACCCTGCCTATGAGGTGTTTGTGCTGTGCAGTGCCATTATCTGGCACTGTGTGTTGAGGTAATCCCTCTATCAGCCCAAATACCGTCATTATGAACTAATGATGAGATAAATCCTGCCCAGTCCAGCTCCCTTCTTCCCTCGACAGTCTGTTTACGTCCCAGTGAGACAGTGCACCACCTCAATCAAGCTGCAGGGCTGTGCAGGCTTTATAAAGGAGTACAGCACTGAGGTGAATGTGTGCAGCATAGATGTTTTCCTAATTATAAAGCTAAAGGCTGAAGAGTTTTACTTTCTTTTTTGTATTTTTCATAATTTATAGTTTATCTTTATATATCAGCGATGCTAGTTTGAGTCTTTATATTTTACATGCTTTTTTATGGCTTACTGTATATAACACATATAACAGCCCCAGTTTTTTTACCTGTTCATTTACTGTACATTTTTGTGGCTCTATGCATGGTAATGTTGGTCTATTGGTTGGTCGGTTGCCCACTTTGGTCCAGAGAGAATTATCTTGAGTTGAAGTATTGCATAATTTGCCATATGAACAGACCTTCATGGTCCCCAGAGGATGAATCCTACTGACTTTGGTGCTTCCCTGACTTTACCTCTAGCACCACCATGAAGTTGTCATTTGTGCCTTTTTTAGTGAAATATCTCAACAGCTGTTGAATTGTGATCACTCAGTCCACACGTTCCCATACTTTTTATCGGCATTACGCATCATCAGGTCAAGATTTTAGATTCTCCAATACTTTTGTTTATGACTAAATACCTAAAATAAATAAAACTAATGACATTCCCATCAGCCTCAGCTGCACTTTGTGCTTAGTGCTAAGTAGCAGTTGTGTAGCACTAAACTAAGATGGGGACATGGAACATTATACCTGCTACACATCAGTATGTTAGCATTGCCAGTGTGAGCATGTTAGCATGCTGACATTAGCATTTAGCATTAACATTAGCTCAAAGCAAAGTTGTGCCTAAACTGTAGACTCTTGTTTAAACACAGTAGTTAACTGTTATATATTTTACTTCATACTCATGTGATCTGATGATAAACCAAAAAAATTGAAAAAGAATGGACTATTAATGGCATGTGGCATTTGGGTAACTGTTTCTGATATTTGTGGAATCTAGACTGAGGGTCCCACCCATAACCTCCATGGATTATATAAGCAGACAAATTTTAGAATAAGCCAACTTTGTCAAAAACAGGTCCTGGGTGTTTGGTGTTAAGGTACGTGGGTGGTCAGAGCACAGTGCCAACTAAAAGTGTTTTTGTAAACTGTACTATTGTGTTTGTGGATGTTTTTTAGGAGCGTGGGAGTGGGACCACCTCCAGGAGGCCCTGGAGGAGAAGCTGAAGAATTCGCTAGCTGTGGCTCAGCTTATGGAGCGCATACGATCCCTCATCGGCAGAGACAGGGTATCGTCTTTAATGTTTAAAATCACCTTACTTTTCTTTCTCTAATACACACAAATTCCATAGAAATCATATACTTTAATTTAATCTTGTTTAAGTAATGTGTTATGGTGTGTATGCTGTAACAACCCTCACCAACAAAAGAGGTTAAATATCTATAATGTGTCAAATCTACTCTTTGAAGGTATAAACACATGTTTTTGTAGTTGCTGACTAATTAACTAAGACCTTGTTTAGCAGTGATAATGTGGCTATAATTAGCATATATACATAATTACTGCCCGTATCACCTCTCAAGTACTGTGGAAATCAGCACAAAGTAAACAAGAGATGCTCTCAAAGGAGCTACAGCAGATCTGTAAGGATTTCACACTGGGCCATGAAATCCAACATTATGTTAAAAATCTGCAGCGTCACATCTATAATGTGTTGCGTCTGTTTAGAAAACACGAGGTGGCTCAATGTAATAGGCAGCAGACTTCAACATTTAGATAGAGAGAGATCAGGGGATATGACATGTCTGCCTCTGACAAGCCTTTGGCACCATGCACGGTCCACCAACCCATCTGGATACAACTAGGTCTTCTACCTGAGGCAGTGTTGAGACGAGCTGACACACCGAGAGATGGCTGTGCCACTTTAACACGATGAGACGCCCTAATGTCCTGTCATGCTTTAAACTCGTCCTCTGCAAACACCTCCGGGTCGTCTCGTGTCACTCTGAGACCGGCTGAAATTTGCTTTCCATAAGCTTCCCATTGATTTACAAAATCAGAGGCGCTTGATTCTGTTGCTGCCTCTTCTGAAGACTCTGTGTTTGCTGAACGCTCCCTCTGCCGCAGAGCGGTGCGAGAATATGGAGTTCTTTGTGCTTCAGTTGACTGAGAAAGGTCACGTAATGGTAATGGGATGTTTTGACGACGCTCATTTGCAGACCTAACAAAACCACCACTCCAAAAAGACACACTGACAGCCGTTCTCATACCACTGATTTCACCTGCTGTGCAGAGCAGTATACTGCATACACATTTATTTTATTATGCGCCCTTTTATTGCTTACTGAGCAGGAATGTGTTAATAAAAAGACAGTTTGGACAACCGTCTGGTTCTCAGTGTGTTTTTAGTGTTAGGCAGTTCCGTCATGGCGTTCTTGGCATTGCAGTTCAAGCTTGTTTGGGTATCGCTAAGCAAGACTGGCAGGAAGGCCATTTGTATTCCACAGGGGAGGTGAGATAGATGCACAGAATGGCAATTGTGCTGGTAACTAGTACCTGACATCCAGCAGAGGAATGTTAACTCTCTCTGTCCATTTCTTTTGGCTTCTTCTCTGCTGTGTGTGTGTGTGTCCGTCTGTGTGCGTAGGGCCCCAGGGACACCCCAAGTGCCCGAGCAGCTCAGCTCGGACCCCAGACGCTCGTCAACCTCTTCAATTCTCCTCTTTACTCTGATGTCATCTTCATGGTGCAAGGTGGGTCACCGCCGATCTGTTTTACACACACACATTTACAAATGCATGCACCGTCACGCAGCAAAGAAAGGTCACATTTTATTAGCCGTGATTGAATTATGCTCTCAGTCCCAGGCCTGGTCATCCATTTGCAGACAAAATAAGATAAAACGGTCCGAGGGAAAGGCTGCCTTCCGTCCCTGCCATGTTTAATCTCGCCAAAAGCTCTTCCATGAGCTGCATTTAGCCAATTCTCTATCAAAGAATCAAACTGAGAAATTCAGAAATAATGCCCCAAAGCCTCTCCTCAATCGATATTTATCTCATAAAAAAGTGCAGTGAGCTTGTCCTTGCACCTCTATGCTGCGAGTTCAACTGTTTACAGAGAAAATGTCTACAAGAATGTTTTATGTTTTTTTTTGTTTGTTTTTTTTTACACGCTAACATGCTGATGGGAGTGTGGCGAAAGCTGTTACTGGCTGTTAGCAACAATTATGTCAGGACTTGCGCCAAGGCTTTGCATGTCATTTAAATGGCCCATTATGACAGATTATCACTCATAACAAGTCAAATTGAATTAGGTTTGGCCTCTATACTCCTGTGATGAGCCAAAAGAGACATGTTAGTGATTTTGACTTGTTTAAAATTATTTTGATCAAAGATACATTCTGTTACTATCACTCAAGATTTAATACATTAATTATGAATCGTTTCCACTCTCAAGCATTTCACTTAACAGCTCTTTGGGACTTTCCTAGATGCTATTCTGAAATTCTGAACCTAGATGTTAATTTTGTGTGTGTGTGTGTGTTCAAGGGAGTGTATTGCCAGCTCACCGAGCAGTACTGGTGGCACGCTGTGATGTCATGGCAGCCATGTTCAGCGGGAAGTATGCAGAGGCCCGGAGTCGAGTGGTGCCCATCCACGGTGTCTCCTCGGACACCTTCCTGTCTTTCCTGGAGTACCTCTACACTGACTCCTGCTGTCCTGGTGAGTTTACTGCACGCAGCCCAGACGGGTACTCAAGTATACCCACTGTGACCACTACTGTATACAATAAGATTAACAACTAAGTGGCACCTAAAACTGCTAACACATCTCCAAAGGGAGGCCTAAATATAGTAAAAGTAATGGCCCTGCCCTCCTCTTTATCTTGCAGACTAATTAAACCCTGTAGCAGATTTTGTATGGTGGTGAGATTGATTGCAGTGGGAAACCCTCAGTCTGTGTGTTATTCATTCACCCGCCTATAACTTCTCCCTCAGGCTGCTGCTGTAAATAAAAATAGTTTGCCAAGCTATTTAGACAAATAGATGGTTGGGTGATTTGTGACTGAGATGAAAGTCACTTTAGATGCTAGGGATCTATCCAACAACGTGACAGAAGAACAATGGACCTTTTGATGTAATTTCAATGTACTGCAGCAGTGTTAGCAAATCAGAAAACACTTGAGAGAGGTTCAGTAGTGCTTTCCTCTAGGCCTTGCTCACAAAACGCAGCCCAAAACAAAAAGTGCCATCAACCATCTGTGTGACTGCGACACGCTGCCAGTGTCAGTCTCAGGAGGCACGAGGAGAACAGCACCAAGCTTAAAATTCAATTAGATTTAGTGACGGCAAAATCAACCCGTGGCATCACTGCTTCATCTGCTTTTAATGATGCCAACTCGTGGCCCCAGACGGGTTGTTGTTGTTGTTGTTTTCCCCTGTCACTGTCTGTCACATTGTTCGCAGTAATTATTACTGATGAGTCTCTCTGGTGATGGCAGTGAGCTATGGTGCATTCCGTTTTTTTGGGTTGCTCCAACCTTAAAGTTACATTAATCAACTTTTATTTCATTGCTGCATCAAGGTACTCTCCGCAGTGTGAAAGCTTAGCTGATACTGTTGATCCCTCTAAAAATCAACACTTAGGCTGGAGCTCTGTGCGGCTCTTAGCTCATTTTTTGTGTTTTTTCGTCAGACAAACCAAATTCATTCAAAACTGTAGGAGGTTTTCAGTCCACAGTCTTACACCCACCGATTGTATATAGGGCTGCACAATTAGTCGAAATATTATTAAAAAATTGCAATATGCAAATCACAGCTGCAATTTAAAGATAAAATGTGTGACAAAACATCATTATATTGGAGTACTGTAGTTCTGAAGAGATGCCCTACAAATCTTGTTCTCCAGATTTAGGATATGTTTGTTTGATACAGATCCCAAAATATTAAGCATTTCACATAATCATGATTTAAAAGTGAAAATTAAATTTGCGATGCAAAACAGATTATTCCCACACTAATGGCAAATCATATCGCAATATCTGTCAAATAATTGCAATGTCATGTTTTTACCATATCGTGCAGCCCTAATTGTATATTACCTATACAGCACTAAAATGGCTTAGACTCGAGGTGAAGCACTCTACACAGTCAACATTTCAGGAGTAAGTGGACCAAAAATGGCAGTGTATATTGTTTTTACCTTTTAACAGGTGGCCAGAGGGACTCCAATGTAATGTTCATGTTGTTCTGTGTCTGCTGTGTGTGTAAGTGTGCAACTAGTTTCTTATAGGTTTGCAACTGGATAAGCTAAAATTTCATTAAAGCAACTGGCTGTTTTTATTTTTGAGTTTTTCTGCCCCCTAGTGGTAAAAGATTACTTAATTCCACTTCGAATGACAAGCTTATGCAGTTGTGTCTAAAGCAGCTTTGGAAGTAGTGTGTGTGTGTGTATTTGTGTGTATATCCTGACATCCATGGTGGTACATCACAACAGCAGTCCCTCTGGAATCAGTCCTTCCAACTACAGATGATGATCTGTATGATGATATTCCATATTCACAGAAAAAACAACAATATATTATGTTTCTTAATTAATAGGCAAAGCCATATAATACATATACAGAGTTAAAGAGTTAATTACAACATTTGCTGTCATCTTCCTTTCCAGTATTGTTATATAACGAAGCTGCTGAATAGACAATTTACTGTAAAGGCTCAGAATAATCCGTTCTGAATAACCAGCTACTGAGAGCTGACAATCCCCTTATTTTGTGCCATGAGATGTTTTGATGAAAAAATCATAAACTTCAACAAGCAGCCCTCCTAAGGTACAAGGAGGGTAAGCAAGCTGTTTCCAGAGATACAGCTTTAGGTTGAGTCATGGGAACAGGAAATTAAAGCCATGAAAGAGCCCCAGAGGCTGTAGCCGCTGCACTGTTATATAAGAGCCCAGCACTCAAGGTCAGAGCAAGGTAACTCCACCAGTAGTGACAAAAAGGAAGGGTGTGAAATCAAAGGAGACGTATTTCATTCAGATAAATACTGTGTGATAGTAGAATATGTTGTTATACTCGTGTATATGTTTAGGGAATCGTGCAGCTGAACAGAACAAACCGTCTGTACGGCTGCAGCTCAGTCTGTCAGAGATGCATGCGGGTGAAGGATGTTGAGGTTGGTGTTTGACTGACATTAATGAAGGGAGTCTTTTGATTTGACATTACATAATAGGGCTGACATTACTTGTTTGATGTTTTTTGCACGTGTGTATGTAGGGATGTAATTTGACAGCTTGGAAAGAGCATTGGGAAATTATTTATATTTTTTTTATATTCAATTTTCCATCCAAAGCACACAGCTGAAGTTTAGTTTGTAATTTATTGAGAGATTTCCATAAAATCTGTTGGACATCCAACAAACTAATGCACAATCTGAGACATGGAACATATGACATACTCTAGACTGTGCTGAGTACAGTGTGACTTAAATATTAGACAATAAGAAATCAACAGCTATATTAAGAAAGAAATCAAAATATACATTCTGTATTCTTGGTTTAGGTCTAGATTTGAAAAGATAGATTTGGTTCATTCTGTCTTTTCCTTTATAAGCACTGAAGAAGCACAGAAAATGGTTGTTTTGGCAAATGTGTAAGCACGAAGTAGACATGAAACAATATTTGGAGCTCTGTTTCTGGACACCTGATAGTTAGAAGTTCAATATCCAGTCTTCCTTTTAGCTCCGTTTTGGTCTCCACCAACTCCTGAGGGAAATATCTGGCTCTTTAGCTGCTAAATACTCTACTATGTTC